ATGTGTACACTTCTAAATTTTCTTTATTTTATTTTTTCATTATGGTGGGAGAGTTTAACATTGGACACCTCAGTCAAGTTCAGCCTGATTGTGTGGACTCACCTCGCTGTGCAAGAGACCTTTAGAAGGCTTTCAACCCACAAAACTGAACCTGCAACTTCTTATTGCCAGACAGAATTCCCAGGGCCTGGGAGTCTTACTATGTTTTCTGCCCCGGTAAGTTCTAGTACTTTAGGGATCTTTAAGTAGAATCAGAAAATGTCTGCAACTGGCTTATTCCTCTTAGCATAACACCTGCGAAGATTCATCCCTGTCATAGCCTGTGCTAATTTCCTTTCTGTTTTGACTCAGCAATATTCCATCCCACGGATGCACCACATTTTCTTCCCTCCTCCGTCAGGGGTTGTTGTGAGGTTGTTTCCACCCCTTTTCGCATCCTATAGGCTGAATTCTCACTCTCTTGCTTGGTCCTTTGGTGAGGAGAAGTTAAATTTGATGCGGCCCTATTTGTCCATTTTCTGGTTTTGTTCTTTCTGGTTGGGGATCACATCCAAGAAATTACTGCCAAATCCAAGTTAGTGCCTGTTCTTCGGCAGGCACTTAATAGTTCTAGATCTCACTTTCAGTCCTTTAATACTGCCTGAGTGGAATTTTGTATATCATACAAGGTGAGCCACCAAATTCATTCTCTTGCATGTGGATGTCCAGTTTTCCCAGCACTCCTCATGAGCAGGCTCTCCAGCTCCCATTCTACAGCTTGGTGTCACTGCCAAAGATCATCTAATCCTCTGACTCTGAACCCTGGGCTCTCCATCCCATTGGTCTGTATGTCTGTCTTAAACGCTGTTCCACACTGTTTTGATTACTGTGCCTTTGTAATAAGTTTTGAAATTAGGAGGTATAGCTCCTCCAACTTAGTTCTCTTTCAAGATTATTTTACTTATTTTTCATCACCATACATTCCTCATAAATTTTTCTTCAAAATGCCATTGTAATTTTGACCACTATGCTTAGAAAAGATTTGTGTGTGTGTGTGTGTTTTTGAGACAGGTCTTGTTGTGCAATTCAGGCTGGACTTGCACTGACTTTGTAGCCCAGGCTGGCCTCAAACTTGCAATGATCCTTCTGCCTCAACCTCCTGAGTTCTAGGGTTATAGGCATGTGCCATGACGCCTGGCTTAGAAAAGATTTTTTAATGTTTTTGATATTCTTCAGTTTATCAAATATCACCTTGGCCTGAGCTACGGTCAGTCCTGGAGGACGTCCCTGGGTCCTTGAGAGGACCTGTGTTCTGCTGCTCCTGAGTGGAGGATCCTGTAAGAATTCCTTAGGTCCAGTTGGTCCACAGTTCTGTTTGAGGTTCCTGTTTTCTTACTGGTCATCTTTCTGGGTATCATATCTGTTCTGGAAAGTACAGTAGTAATGTCTACTGTTGTTATGCTTCGCAGATCTGTTAATGACTGCTTTGTGTATCTGAGGGCCCTAATGCTAGGCAGGCGTATGTGGGTTAATAATTGTCCTGTATTATTGGTGAACTGAATCTTTGATCATTATACAGTATCTTTTTTCTCTTGTTACAAATTTATGACTTAACCTATTGTGTCTGAGTAGGGGCAGCCCTGCTCGCTTTTGGTTTTTGTTTTCTAGGAATACTTTTCTCTGTTCCTTTGCTTTCCGCCTGTGTGTGTCCCTAGATCTAGAATGAGTCTTAATAAGCAGCGCAGAGTTGTTTCCTTAAACCCACTCACCACCGCCTGCCCTGTTTCGGGGTTGACCCATCTTATTTACAGAGGTCACCCACAGGCCGAAGCTTCCTGTGGCCATTTTGTTCATCGTTTTTTCTGTTTGCCCTGCAGCTATTTTGTGGCTTTTTCCCTTTTTACTGACTCTGTTCCTCTCTGTGTGTGTGTGTGAGCGTGACCGTGTGAGTGTGACTGTCTGTGTGCCTTTTCCAGTCCCGTGCTTTCCTTTCTCTCCTTTTTTTGTTGCCCTTTCATTTCCTCTCACATTCCTCTCTTGGGAATCTCCGGGCATTTCTCCAGGTTATCCTGGGAATGACACAAAAACTCTCAAGTCACAGTGTTTTAAATTGATAACAATCTTCCTTCCTTCACATAGCAAAACTCTCCTCCTCTGCAACTCTGCACCTTTATGTTACTGACGTCACTGCTTGGAACACTGCACCACCACACCCATTAAGGCAGACTTAATATGGTCCTTGTTATGCCTTTGGCTTGTAATATTTTTACAAAAATTAAAGGTAATTGACAGACCAACATTACAGAATTTTAACCTCTTCTACATATTTATAAAATCACAGCACTTTACATTTTTACGTGGTATACCTTGCTATCTTGTTTTTATCTATTTCAACTTGAAGAACCTCCTTTAGCATTCCTTTAGGACAGAAACAGCAGCTTGTATTGACTCAGGAAAATCTGAAGTTTTCCTTTACTTTTTTGGGGGTGGGAGGGTACTGGGACTTGATCTCAGGATCCCATGCTGGCCAGGCAGATGCTGTGTCACTGAACTAATCCCCAGTCCCTCTCCTGTAGTTTTGAACACCACTGTTACTGGATACAACATTCCTGTTTGGCAGGGGTTTTTTCTGTACTCATTAACTGTCTTACCCAGTGCTTTTCTGCTCTGTGAAGTTTCTGCCAAGAGACTCGCTGATAATCTCTGAGGAGCTCCCTTGTGTACAAAGAACTGATTTTCTCTTGTTGCTTTTAAGAGATTAATTATTATTGTTGTTGTTGTTTTGGGCAGCTTATTATGTCTTTGGGTTTCTTTGGGTTTAACTTAACAATACTTCATCGAGTTACTTGAATTTGTATATCTATTTTTATCCCAAATTTGGTATTTAGCCATTATTTCCTTTGTAGGCTTTATTGTGCTTCTTGGTGTGTGATAATTGTGCATACTTACATGACACAATGTCGCATTTCAATACCTGTGTGCAATCAAATCACAGCAGTCAATATTTCCATCTCCTCATCATTTCTCTGTGCTTGGAAACTCTGAACTCTTCTCTCCTAGTGATTCACAAGATGTGTGACGGGCTACTGTGAGCTGTAGTCCTCCCACCGTGCTGTAGGATACTGGAACTTGTCACACACATGGCCGTAGTTTGGGACCTGTTTCCTCTACTTTTACTCACCCAACCTTTTCCAGTCTTCTGCAGCCACTATCCAAATCTCTCCCACTTTCAGATCAATATTTTAGCTTCCTCGTATGACAGAGATCCTGTGGTGTTTTCCTTTCTTTGTCTGGATTATTTCACTTAACACAATGATCTCCAGTTCCATCCATTCCACTGCCAACAGCAGGACCTCATTATTTCACGGCTGAATCACGTCCAGCTGTGCCTGCGTACCCACCTTTTGTCCACTTCGCTGAGGCTGGTCACCGAGGCTGAGTCCACGTCTCAGCTACCGTGAACTCTGCTGCGGGAGCGTGGCTGTGCAACCGTCCCTTGATGGGCTTAGCCAGTGGTCGCGGAGACAGGCTTCCTCCTTCTTCCATGCTCACTCCTTTGGGGGATGTCACAACCCGTCTGCAGCCCTGCCTGCTGGTGCCTCACAGTGCCTTTAAACTATCTCACTTCTCAGTCTTTTCCTTTGGCGCCTCTGACTGAAGAGTTTCAAGTAAGCCAGCGTCAAGTTTGCTGATTCTTTCTCCTGCTCCTGCCTCACAAAGTCAGCTGTCCATCCTCCTTTGACATTTTTCAATTCAGTTAATTTACTTTTCACCTCCAGACTTTCTGTCTGTACATTCTCTGGTTTTTAACTCTGTGGTGAGTCTCATTTTGTTCATGCATCCTCTCCTTGACTGAAGTTAGCTGCCTGGGTTCTCTTTCAACCCAGTGACCACCTTGAAAATAGCTATTTTTAATTCTTTGCCAGGTGTCTGATAGATTTCAGGTCTTCAGGGTCCATTTCTGGAAATTTATTTTGTTTCTTTGGTCATCTTCTATGCCTCTGCCCTCAGTGATTTTTCGTTGAGTTTTGAGTATTGAAAAAGACAGCTGTCTTAATGCGTAAAGACCGCCTTCATAGAAAGAACACCTACCACAAACGCAGCGAGAGGCTCCGGAGCTTTTCTGGGCATGTGCACGCGTTCTCTGGGCACTGTCTGCTCCTCCTGGTGGAAGAGGCCCTGCTGTTTCCTGCATCAGCTGATCGCTGCCTCCCCCTCGTGTCACTTTGTGGTACTGCAGCGTCTCTGGTACTGATGCCCCTTGGCCTTGTTCTAAGTCAAGGTCCCCCAACCTGGCACCCAAACTGTGCTGGTCTGTGGCACTGCAGCTCAGGGGCCACAGCTCAGGGGCCACTCTCTGAGAGGCCCTCAGAGGGAAAGTGGAAGCTTCATGGATAGTCCAGGCTCCTCTTTTCCTCCCTGGGAAATCTGGGGTCCAGCGGCTTCCCCGATGGTGATGGAGGTCGGTGTCTAGATTTCCAGCCTAACTGCAGGCGTCGTTTGTGCCGCTGATGTTATTTTGTTGTATTTCTAAGGTCCATTAAATGAGGACAGAAGTAAAAGAAAGTTGGAGCAACCACAGCTAAAACAAACAAACATTATCTAGGACCCGAGACTCATGTCTTTTCACCTGCCCGACAGGACTCAAAGGGCCATCAGTGATGTCCAGCGGCCCGACCCAGCACCACAGGCCTGGCGGGCTGTCTTGGGAGAGGGCTGTGTGCAGCTCTGAGGCTGAAGGAAGTGGTCTTGCTGCCCGCACAGGTTTTGTTTCAGCAGGAGTCCCTTCCTCGGTTAGCTCCTAGTCCCGAGAGCTCCGGCATTGCCCTGCAAACTGCGAAGCTCTCTGCCCACTGAAGGGGGAGAGCCAGTGTTCGGGACTCTGCAATCCAGTGGTGCTCCACGTATGAAGAGACCCCTTATTCCCAGTGGTCTCCTATGTGCATGTGTGCGTGCGTGCATGCATGCGTGTGGGGTGGGAGGGGCCCTGCTCCTCACAGTGCTGGCTTTCTTCTCTGCAGTTTGAAGCAAAGTCTGGGATTCTGCAGACATTTTGTGTCCCTGAGAACAGAAAGCAGGCAAGAGGAGGCCTACGGTGAGTAGCTGGATGAACCCTGGTTTGAACGGTTTTCATTTGCATCTGAAATACCCTGTGGTGCAGGACCCCTGACTGAGACCTGGACAGAGCCGGCACCTTGGCTCTGCCCCTTGTCCAGCAACTTTGCAGTTGGGAGGTCACCTCGTCCATGCTCCTAGAGTGTCCACGACCTGTCATCTCCTGCTATGTAATAACCTGTCCCAACTTCATGAGTCCAGATCCAGTTTTAAAGAACTATTCCTCAGATAGCTTACGGTTTTCTTCCCATTCCTTTTTCAACTTACTTTGAGACACAGTTCCCAGGCTGACTGGAGCATGATACTTCTGGCCCCAGCTCCTGCCCTCTGGGGTTCCAGGGCAAACCCTCCTTACTGTGCTAATCTGCCCCCCTGCTGCTTCTGCCTGCCTCCTGCCACTTTTTTTTTTCTTACCATGTTGTTATTTAAGACTGTTTCTGTCACTTACAGAAACTGAAGGGAGCCAGTGACCTTTCTTCTTCCTTTTCACGCTTGCAGACCTGGACCATAGAACAGCAGTCGTTGATCTGAATAGTAAATACTGCTCAAGACCAGAAAATCTGAGCCGGGGCTGGTGTGGTGCCTCACACCTGCAACCCCAGCCCTCTGGGAGACTGAGGCAGGAGGATTGTATGTTCAAGCCCAGCCTGGACAATTCAGTGAGATCCTGATTTTTTAAAAAAAAGAGAGAGAGAAAAAAGAACAGGGCTGGGGATGCTGCTCAGTACGAAGGCCTCTAGTTCAGTCCTAGGCACTGGGAAACGATCTGAGTGAGTTATGCCAGTGCAAGCCTGAGATCCCAGCGCTCCGAAGTGCTTCCTACAGCCAGTCAGCCCAGTTTCTGTTCCTCTGGGCCTTAAGCCTCCAGCCAGGCTCCAGTCCAGCCCAGTTCCTAGCATTTCTCCGCGGACAGCTATTCTGAAACGTGCAGGAGTATTACCCTTCCCTTTGCTGCCCTGTGCACAAGGCAGGCCACGGTCTGCATGGAAGCTGCGGCGGTCCTTCCTCCACCAAGTGCAGGCTTCCCTGCTGGCCCTGCTCCTGGGGAGAGACACAGTGTAGACCGTGGGTTCCTCCCTGCCATGCCTGTCGTGTCCTGCTGTGTGCGGTTGGCATATGACCACTGAGAGCATTTAGTAGCAGCAATCAGAAGAGCAGGACAGCTGCCCAGGGCAGCACGTAAGTGAGCAGTGTGGGTTCGGGCTTTCTGTCCCACAGTCCGCTCTGCTGGAAGGGAACCAAGCCACCCTTCTTGCCAAGGGCTTCTGATGTGCTGTGTTACTTTCCACACCTGCAGCAGCGTGGTGCTTATCTTTCTCAGCCCACTGCCAGCCGCAGCAGATCAGAGCCAGCCAGGGAGGACGCTGAGTAAAGCTCCAAAGGCTCCCACCTGTCACAGTCGAGAAATACTGGTGTCTTAGAGGAAATACCTGGAGAGTCTGGCAAAATGCTTCCTGCCAGGCTTAGTTTGCAGTGTTGTAAATCTGAACTCTTACACCTTCATAAATATTTTAGAGGGAAGTTGGACAGCCAGCACAGGCCTGCTGCCAGAGCTCCACTGAGAGCAGAGCCAACCTTCTCCTTAGCTGGTTTCCAAGTGTCTTCTAGCAATGAGTGCTACACATTCGCATGGCTGGTCTTCTGATGGTGCTCACAGAATGCAAGGAGGACCAGAGGCTGACCATGGGGAAAGGGTTAGAGCAGCCCTGGGATGGATGTTGGGGAAGAGTCCGGGGCCAGAATCCAGCCAGTGCTCCTTTGCCCTGTGCACAGCTCCTTGATTGCTTCCTGGTTCTTGGGAGCCAGAAGGACAAGGGTGAGCAGGCCCTGCACCCCTCTCAAGCACAGGCCAGGCCAGTGCTGAGCTGTCCACCGTGCTGGAGTTCGTAGAGAAGACTGGTGCAGGCTTTCTGAAAAGCACGAATCGTGGTGCCTGGCATTGTGCGCTGATGGCAGAGCCAGGTCCCTAGGAGCTATTCGGCAGGCAGTCTCTTCCCGCTGCAGCAACAGAGGACTCCAGGTGCAAGAGGTCTCCCAGCCCAGAGGCCACACTGCTCAGTGAGGGCACAATCCAAAATCTTAAGCAGTATTCAGAGATCAAAAGAAAGACTGATGTTTCAAGGTTGGATCTCCAAGTATTCCAAGAAGGGAAAAAGTCCTTTGCTCCCCAATTGCCTCCAGGCAGGCCAAAGACGGACATGTTGTGCTTCTATCTCAGGGTTGCCCAGGGCAGACGTGACAAGGCTGGCGATGTCCTGTGTCAGATTTTCCCACCTGACTGAGGGTTCATGCACACTGAGTCCCTCTTGTCAGGGCCACGAGACCTGCTACAACGCAGTGAGATGATGCTGGAATCTCCCTCTGTAACTTAAGAATTTTACAGTGCCTGTGTGTAGTAGTGAATTCTCACTGTGTGTAGTGGGGAGTTCTGTTGATGGTTTGTGACAAGTTCCACCTGGAACCTTTGTGTCTGATGGAAATATGTATAAGGAGAAAATTATAATTATTTTACTTATCTTTTAATTAATACTCAATTCATTAAATTTTGGGTAAAAAGTTTTTTAAAATTATAGAATGTTCCCATTTTAAATAAATGTTGATTTTATAATCTGGTAAAAAAATGCTCTTAAAATCTCACTTTCACTGTGAAATTAGAAACGTAAACTACAAAGCAAACCTACATCAAATGCCCACTGGACTTAAAATATCACCATTAAAGCTTTTCCTGATCACTTAGGTAGCTTTTGTAACTCTAAGAAAATGTATTTTTAAATATAATAAACTGTGGCAACACCTTAAAAGGAAGCCTGAGGAAAGCCGGACCATGGTTCAGAAAGCTCCTGCCAAGCCAGCAGCCTCTCCGTTCAGACGCAGCATTGACGGACCTGGCTCCTAGGCTGCTGGAGCTGATAAGAGAAAATACTGTGGTCATCAATTGAAAATTGGGAATCAAACATCAGAGTTATAAAAATATCCAAGAGTCTTTTGAGTTACACTGGCATTTATTAGATTGAACCCTTAATTATGTTGATAGACGTCTAACAATAACATTTCTCTCAAGAAAACGCATCACACATTTTTTGTTTTTGTTTTTCCCATCTTCCCTTTGGAAACCATTTGCGCAAGCTTTATCACACTCCACCTCATGCCTGCTTCCCTGCTGCAAGGACACCACTCTTATTGGGGCCTGTCTGGGGCGCTGGCTTCCGAAGCTCATCTCTGTTTTGCTCTGGATACAGGTACTCCGAATTTCTCTGGAAGGCAGTGGTGGTGACCATGGGACTAAATTCTAACCAGTGGAAAGCAAGCAGATCAGAATTTCCGATCCATCTTTAGTCTGTTTCCCTGGCGGCTGACCGGAGGAGAATCCGGAGATGGGAGCTCTACTAAAGGCCCTGGCTCCGCATACGACCAGGTAGAAGAGCGCTGTCCCGGACTCCATCTGGCTCTAACTCAAGGAAAGAAACACGCTTTTGAGGCAGGTCACAGCTCAGTGGCATGAATGCCTGCCCGGAAAGCATGAAGTTGTGAGTTTGAACCCTGCTACCCAAAACAAAAAACAAACAAACAAAAATAAACATGCTTTTTGTACTGATTCTTGGGAACTATTTGTTACCTGTGCTAACTGGCACACATATGCCAAGCCAGGATTCAAATCTTTAAAGGTTGATTTACCTCAGTAGATCCAGCCATTCATTAAAAACTTAATACAATATATACACAGTCTGGGTCAATCAATAGCACTATCTCTGCAAATGAAAACCCTTCTAAACCTGTCCTGCAAGTTACCTCTCAGGAGTTAGTATCACAGCTCTCATTACGGGCTTCATGGAATTGTTATTGTCATTAGCATTATTAATATGCACTGCTGAAATGACTCTGTGTCCCAGCACTTCTCTAGGATCTCCCCAATCACCCTGATTCTCCTCTTATAGAACGTGCCTCTCAAGGTGACTGTTTGACACGCCTCCACCCCTTCCCAGAGAGTTGTGGAACCAAGTGCCGCCCACTCCCATTAAGCTCGTACCTGACTCTGACTTCCCTTCCTACTCATTTAAGAGCCACACTGGAAATGAGAGATTTTATGAGGATATGAGTTCACATTTCTGATTTCATTTTCACTGCATGTTTAGTTTTGTTTTGTCCTTATACAGAAACTCTCCAAAGCCTTTACCCCATATCCTGAGCCTCTGTAACAGACAATCACCCCACAGTGAGTGTATTCCAACACATTCTATTTTACCACACAAAACGTGTTTTTAAACTACAGTGTCTGAAGTTTCTGTCCATAATTGGAGAATCATGTGTAACAAGGGCGTCTGTACCAGCTTTGGTTCTTGAATGCTTCAGTGAGAGTAAATTTCAATTCCCCTTTCCTTCACAAGCCTGACATATTTCTTCACTAACAACATGATACTTTTTAATGTCTCCTTTAAAATAATCCCCAAATTCTCACAGATAAATAATGTAAACTCATCGCCACTCATCCTGCTGGGTTTTGGGGGAATAAGCACAATAATAACAAGATAAGGATGATTTCTAGGAATTTTCAAATCTCTTTAAGAAATGAACAATTGCTTTGTTGTTTTTTTACAATTAGAAGCCTTGTATCTAGATTAGTGGAGTGGAGGATGTAGATAGTGATAGCATAACTACCAGATTGTCAAAGGGGTTTCAGCTCCAGATCTCAGTTCACCACCCTAGAACCCCAGCCTCTCGGCGGGAGTGCGGTGCATCCCGGAAGTGGGAAGAACCTGGGCATCACCAGATTTATGGTCTCACTCTGGGGCCCTCACTGGGACATTTGGGAAAGTTAACACAAGGCAACTCTTGCTCAAAGCTATCAATTAGTCTTTTCTCTTTCAGTTTTTCATTTAACTTGTCAGCAAACACCAGGAGGTAAATACAGGAATGTGGGCCAAACAAGTTAATTTGGGTTTTGGGTCTCAAGTTGCCATTTACAGAGTATCCAGTAATAAAGTCAAATCAATGCAGTAACTAAGAGAAGTAAATAAAATCTAAGGTGATCGCTGGTATCTAATAGAATTGAGTTAATGCTTAATATTGCACCAGAGGTGTAAAACGAGGGAAAATGTGTCTCTAACAGAAGGGGAGGAAACAGTGTTGTGTGTTGGTGGTACAGTAGCATCTACCCAAACCCACTATTAGGAGGGAAAGCAAAATTATAGAGGGGTGAATAAGAAACCGGCTTCTTGCAGAGAGAAGGTCATGAATGTTGCTTTGCTATTGGTTCTAAACCTGACCCAGAGACAAGGTTAAGCAATGAAGGAGCAGACTTTGAAGAGAAATAAGTGGACTAACCATTTGCTCCAATAATCTAACATCTTTAGCTCAAAATGATTTTGTTCTTTGGCTGTTTCAATACAGCAGGAAATGCTAGGCAGACTTTAGGCAATCCTCCCATGTGCTGTAGATTCTAAAAAAATGGGTTTCAGATATTACTCACAATCCATTGGCATGGCCCACGGGCAGAGGGTCTGAGAAGAACTCTCTCAGGGGTTGTATCTGAGCTGGGTGGCACTGGAGAAGGGCAAGCCTGTGACTGTCATCACTGGACCGGAAGGAAGAGTCCAATGAGACTGACACTCAGACAACCTGTGTGAAGGCGGCTGTGGGACTTACCCTGTATCACTCTGTGAAGTGAGTTTGTCCAATACTGTACAAACCTCATATCAAACAACTTATAATTTGAGTGATCAGCGTACTGTGAGCTGAGACACTTGCCTCCAGACTGCAGTGTAGGTTTCGCTTTCCTTCTCCCGGGCTGAAATTTTCAGTTAGTAGCAGAATCAGCCTGGACTTTTTATGTGTGGCATTGAGAGCCTGAGGACAGGTGCTTGTGTTGAGAAAGTGGGCGGTCGTAGCACGGGACCATTACCCACGAGTGGCCATGGTGAGAATGGACTCCAGCTATGGTGGACGTCCTCCCTCTGCATCTCGTTTCCGTCCTGCACAGCTAAGCATCCTGTATGTCTGGCGTCCCCTGCGCCAGCCCTTACGATGCCTTGGGTCTCTTTTTGCCTTCATTTCCATGGCAGACCCTGCCACCATGCCGTTCTGCTGACATCTCAGGTGACAGCATGTGGGCTGTGTCTCTGTAGCCCCCAAGAGACGGTGCATTGTGACTGTGTGTTGCTCACTGCCTTGATTCAGGTGTAGATGGCAATGGAAGATTGCCTCCCACTGGAGTGGTCAACATGGAGACAGTGTGGTCCGGCAAGGGATTCCCAGCGCCTGTCTTGCACGGCTCACACAACCTGGAAGTCCCACCTTCACCACCCGCTCTCTGCTCACAGCTTCCAGTGCTGTTTCTTTGCATGTGTCTCCTTTATCTTTCTTTGCTGGCTGTGCCATATGGATGGTTCCTTTCATCTTTCAAAACTGTGTTCCATCTTTGATGAGCGTGCCTTTTCTAATGGCCTTACTTTGATTCACACCCTGGACTTTTCTTTCTCTGTAGCCTGTAACTTCCAATAGGAAGCTGTTTCAGCAGAATGAGTTTTTCTGGCTGGCTACAAACCTGAAAGGATTTTAGACAGCCTTATGGAGTTTGATGACTATGAATAAAAGTCACAGGTTCACTTTCTCCACTCAGAGATCTTTGCTCTTCTATAAATATAAGACAATTAGCATCAATCACATGGCTTGATACCCAACTTTCATGTTTATTACATTTTTCACAGATGGCAGAATAATAGAGCCGCTTCCAAAAAACATGTGCTAAGGGATATATATATATATGTATATGTATGATGTACATGCATGTGTTTATGCATATGTGTGTGTGTATGCATGTGTGTGTAGTTTGGCTAATTTTATGTTTTTCAATAATTTCTCTTTGCGTTTAGTTTTCATGTTAGTAAAAGCTCAGTCAAGTCCATATTTTTGTAGAGAGCTTCTAAAAGGTGTCCATCCATATCACCCTCAACTAGGAAAGTCAGACAAGGTTCACAGTGACATAGCTGAGACAGGACCCCTCCTACGATGCCCTGGGTCCCTTTCTGCCCTCGTTTCTGTGGCAGAGCCTGCCACCATGGCCGTTCTGCTGACATCTCAGGTGAGAGCATGTGGGCCGTGTCTCTATAGGACATATCTTTGGCTGTCTGAAAACTAAACCTCAGGCAAAGCGGCAAGGCTGAGGAGATATCAGAGTGGTTTGCATGGGGACTGCTAACACACACAGGTTGGTTTTTTTAAGAAAAGGTTAAAATATCCTTTGCTGTGCATTTACATTGGCACATATATCATGTATCGACATGTATAAAGATGCATACATCTGTGTATAACATTACATACATGAACATATATTTTGAATATATAGCATGCACTTATATGTATATATGCACGTACTGATAAAAAATATACAAAATATGATAAAAATTGCATAACAAAAATAATCACAAAACAAGTTGCATATTTTTTATCCAAAATTCTTGAAAATAGAGTTGTTTTAGGTTTTGAATTTTGTTGGGTTTGGGGATGTAATGAGATTTCTCTAGGGTAGAATCCAAGTCTAAACACGAAATTCATCTTTGTTTTATAAAAACTCACACACATAGTCTGAAGGGATGTTCACAGGCACACACATCTTTTTTAAAGCACAGCACCTCAATTTGGAGGGAGAGTCTGTGAAGGCCCGGGCTGTGCTGTGTCCCAGTCTGCCCCGTGTCACCTGGCTTCAGTTCTGTCCCAGGGAACCATCTGAGCCACATCACACTGCGGCTGGCTCTCCATGGCCTCCAGGCGTGAGCTCTGCTTCCAATCTTGCAGTTGACCATGCGATGTAGCATTATCAATGCTTGGGCTCCCCTGTGTGGGGTGATGAGCGCTCTAGCTGGGGGTGGCTCTAGGCCTGGAGCCGCTCTCTCTGGCACTGACTGGTGTTATGCAATTGAGTCAGCCTAGGACGTTCACTGTAGATTCGTTTCCTGTGAAGACACTGACTCAGCCTCCCGCACGCAGCAGGTGTTACAGAGACAGATGCTAGGTTACTCTAAGCTGTCAGTGCTGAGAAACTGCGGTGGCTGTCACTTACAGGGACTTTAGACCCCATAGTAAAGTACTTGGAGACTCTGCCATTCAACCTGCACTGAAATCGCTCCATTTCCCATACTTTATTCTAGATTTGAATTCATTTAGCCTTATCCACATACTTTTAAAAAATCCTAATTTTCTAACTTCCCCAAGAATCTTTTCAGTTTCTGTAGTCCTGCCACACCTGCCACAGTACTCAATCCGGAAAAGGACAATAACTTTCCAGCTCTGTTTCACCTATTCCAAAGGTCCTGGCTCAGTAAGTCCACCGTCAGCATCTTGAAGGTGTAGATGCTGCTCATTGTTCTTTGTAGATAAATCTGTCAGCACTTCACATCCTTGAAAAGTTTCATAGTCCGGTCCTCTGTGTGGGCCCACTGTTGGTGTGGTCCCCACCGTATCTGTGCAGGTGGTCCCAAGGTCCACATTCTGTCCTCCATTGTCAAGATGGTGGGTCATGCCACTAACCAGCCTGGGTGTATTTTGGATTCTTTTTTGCTCAACTTACAATAAGGTGAGTGATCCAGATCAAGGTAGTGCTTTGTCACTTCAGAAAGTTCTCTCTGCCCTCAATGTCTTTATTTTCAGATATTTGTGAAGTACTAAGAAATTATCGCTTGTTATTTTGCAGCTGTGTTGGGGGCTGCTATCTGCTCCGTCTTTGGACTCACCTGGGATTTATGAAGCCGTACCCTCCCACTCCCACTAGCTTTCATTTTGGTATTATCTGACACTTGTGGGAAAGCATTTCAGCTGTGATAGGAGTTCTTTGATTGCAAGGAGGGAGTCTTCCACAGTTCTATTTTCCATCTGTTTATTTCAACTCCTTGTTCTTTGAGCCACTGTTTCTTGTACCTGTTTGTAGCCGTCAAAACCTTCAGCTATGCCTTTTTCTATAGATGGGTTTAAACTACGTGGAAATTCCCCCATGCAGCTCCTAACCGGCTCATATCTGCCCTTTTAGCTTTAAAGCTGCCACCCAGTCTGATTCATGGATGTTCTAGGTGATGAGTACGGTGTTTGGGGCACCTTAGAGTATGAAAATGCTGGTTACAAGTCATGGCCAACACACCCACTTTTCTTTGTGATTTGATCGCAGGGGCATGTGTCTGTCTTCCTGGCGATTCTTCTGTGGACCTCTTCCCGAGTGGGCACAGCTCCCGTCGTTGCTGTAGCCGGCGTTACCCTTAGGACTACCTCTCTCTTGTGACCATGCCACTGAGACACTTTTCCAAACACCCGTTCCGTGGTGGACCTCTCCCGTTAGTATTTCCACCAGGTGCTTAAGCTACCATGCTATACCTTGAGTTTAGTTCCTCACTTCGTTTTGACTTTTGCATTTTCGCCTTCACGGTGTTTGCATGTCGGAGTGGTACGTGACTTTATTCTAGCACATGCGTGATGTATTTGTCCAGTTAAGTTTCCCATATTAGTTTGTCAGTTTGCCTGCTATCATTTTTCCCGTTGAGGATCAAATTGTTAGAGCGCTGAGTCACCCATGAGCATGGACACCTGTGCTTCTCGTATCTCTTCCCATTGTCACTTCTGACCTAACTGATGGCCTGTGCAGGAATCATCGGGGACTTGATGTCCACATGCAATGTGACATCCTAAACTCGCAACTCTTGTTCCACCCTGTGCAGAGCTGTTTGGTGGGCGGAGTCTCTTCCTTCCTCCCTCTGCCTGCTTAGGAGGTGACCCTGTGTGTGGCCTGTGTCTGCACTTTCTTCCCTGGGCGCTTGCTGTTCATCTCGTGGGATCGCCTGTCCACATGGTAGATGTTTCCATTATTTGGCCTCAGTGACAGTGGGCTGCCCTGCTTGCTCGGTTACTTTCTCCATTAAGAGCATTTTTACTGTGCTCAGAGGAGCCTGGCATACCTGGGGCTCAGTCCTTCAAGGATCTAAAAACATAGGGATTTATCCCAGCTTATATTGAGAAGAATATGATTATTGCTACGTTTTCTGTATAATGTACATTTCTCTACAGTTCTGGGTGCTCTGAGTGGCTAATTTAAAGGCAATCTCAAGTACTCCACTCAGTGTGGCTCTTTCTCAGGTAATTATTGCTTTCACACAAGTTCTCACAAGAGTACCATGTACACAGAAGTCTGATAGTAATTTATGTTCAGTGTGAGAATCAGCATGAACTGATTATTACTTTGCAAATTAGTGTTTTTCCTCTGATAGACTTCTCATGGTTTGGCCACCTGCTCTTTCCTCCTGGGAAAATCCATCTCATTTGCCACCATAACTGACCTGCGATTTGTGACCTCTAAGAAGAAAGACACTTTTGTGGTGTGATGAACAAGCTTTGCCTTTGCTGTCACAGCACAAGGCCGAAGTGGCTCCACTGAGGTCTAAATGCCCTGGCTATCAACTCACTGCCCACTCTTACCCCATAAATATCCTGAGCTCCCGGAAAGGGTGACTGTGTGCCTTCCCCCACCTCACAGCTGGCTTTCCAGAAAAAGAACTAAAAGCTGTCCACTCCAGACCGCATGTCCTCTCTTTCTAACTACACACCCCATGATAAGAAACGAGGACTTTGTTCCTAACCTCACACACCCCTCTAACAGCAACACACCAGACCCCCAAGGCCACTTGAGTCAGTTAGCCACGTGGATCTAAAGCTTTGAATTCAGCCAGTGAACTGAGAGCTCAGCTGCTCCTCCTGTATCCCAGATGAGAGGGGCTAACCACCTTTGTTCTGTGTTTCTGTGACTTCAGGCATCTACCTTCCCATGGAAGGAAAAGGCCTTGCCAAGATTTCTTGATGTGTAAGTGCTTTATGATCTACACTGACAAGTTTAGTCTGGGGCTCAACAATGATGACTTTGTATTGTGTCACCTCTGAAGATGAGAAGCTGTGTCCCAAAATTCCCTTCCTCATGCTGTTCTGGTAGAGGCCAGGTACACAAGGACTGTGTGCTTGTGGGAGTGGAGATGAGACAGCATTTGGTGGCCTGAGAGGAGGCTGAGCTCCCATATGGGCACAGGACACATCTGTATCCTCTGCTCTTGCAGCACTTGGCTCTGTGATGTGCAGGTCCATGTCCAAAGCCACCGCTCCTTCTGCAGGGTGTCCTCCTCTGACTGGGACAAAGAGAGCTATGTGTGCCCACCTTGCCCTCCTGCCTTCTGTTTGTCCATGAGAGTCCAGTTTACTCTGGACCACTTCCAAAAGCAGCATGGAATTCATACTGAAAAGTACACACACCTTAATTCTGGTTCTTTTCAAATATATGCCGTACTTATAGATGCTTTCGTTTTCCAATTGACTTTATTGATCATGTGCTCCATAATGTGTTATTTTTAAGGATTGCCAAGATGGACTCAAAGTGGCTTCTCACAGAGTCGGATGTGGAGGGGCCCAGAGGCTCCGTCTGCACACCGGACACCAAAGGACTCAGTAGAGGTCTGGAGCTCTCTGCGCTGCCCCATGCAGGTCCAGATCAGAAGGCGGATGGGTCTGCACTGGAAGCCAGGAGGTGATGTGCAAGGTGAAGGTGGAGCCTGAAGCTCCTGCACTCCTCTGGAGAGACAGCGGCAGCTCTGTCCTTCATTTCCCCTTCACACCATCCAGACAGCATACTGTCCTAGGGTGGGCCCTCCACACCCCAGGTGTGGGACTGCTGAGCCCATTTAGCTGGGCTTCTCTTACTCAAGTTGACACAGTTAATCAGCTATCACAGGAATACTCTGTAAAATTCAGTAAGTGATTAAAAACACCACTGTATTCAGCTTTCAGCCTAAGGAACAAACTGTTGACCAATGGTTTTGCAGTCCTTGGAAGGATCTGCTCACATCCATCAACTTCCTCCACATGTGCTGTATACCACGATCTTACAGCCTAACTCTGTCACAGCTGTGTTGTTTTATATGACATGTAACTTCAAATAAACCTTTTAGAATGTCTTACTTGCTTTTTGACTTTAAACAAATGGAATCACACTGCATGCATGTTTTGAGAGTGTTGTCTTTATTATATTTGAGAAATTTACTTGTATTGTGGTCAGGGTTTGCAAGGAGAACAGCTATGTACAGGACTTAGAATTTACAATATTATTTTCAATGGTCACCCAGAGTTAAACACAAGAAAGTGCAGGAAATCTGTCCACAACACAAAAGACCTAGAAAACCCAGCCAAGGACCTGGATCCCTCAACAATGTCCTGCACAAGTCTAGCTAATGACCCAGAACCTATGCCATTGCCTCTCACGAGTCCAGCTGGAGGTCTAGAGCCCATGACAATACTCCAGCAAGTCTGTTTTATGGATCTGCACTGGCAAGGACCAAAGGTCAGCAGTGGAAGGTAGAAAGTCTGTGCCAGTAGAGTGAAGGAGCTGTGCTAGTAGACTGAGGGCTCTGCACTGGAGCCAGGGCTCCCCCCAAAAGTACCACAGCCATCCTCAGTGACAATGAGGTCCCAAGCTCTTCTGAGGAGTGGAGTGCATGTCAGAAAGCCAATGTGGCAAGCTTCTCCTGGAGATTAAACAGCACACATCTTCCTCTCCAGAGCCAGGAAGCAATGCTTGAGGTAAGGGCCAGAGCTCGTCCAAAGTGGACCACAGCCACTCTCAGTGACAAAGCTCCGATCTCCTACAATGACAATGCTCGAACTCACATGAATTGAAAGCCGAGTGGCTCTGAGCATTGGTGGAGGAGGAGCACTGGTGTGACCTGGAGAGTGGGGAGTGGAGTTCAGATAGTGAACTGTGCAAAATGAGGTTCTTAGGGCAATTAGGTGACCACTATGATGACAAGTTTTTGTACCATTTTGGAGGGAGTAGATGGTTAAGGTGGTGTAGTGTGAAAGGTTATTATACATAAAGATATTGTGGTGTTTGCTGAATTATCTGTTGGATTTTGAAGGTACTAAGGTACTAAGGATGATTTTTATCAAGAGATCCTATTACAATACTATTATTGTAATACAATGGCCTACAAAAGAGTTTTTCTTACCAGATTTAGAAGGGTATAAACACATCTATTCCTCATCAATATTGTAACAAAGCCATGTTATTAGCATCATTATGCCTCCTGTGACCACCATAGCCAGTGTGAGCACACAGAGAGGAGAATCTCCAAGGAAGACAAATGTCCGAGCATCACTAAGATGGAAATAAGTGGACCATAGGTTGAGGACCAGCAAGAATCAGTGGAGCTCTGATGGCAGGAAAAGACAAAGGCTTCCAGGTCTGGCTGTGTGACCACAGGACAAAGTGTGTCACAGTCCTGCAAAGCCTAGTGATTCTTTGGTTCCAAACAGCAGCCCAATAAAGTTGCGGTTTAAGTTCCCTGTCTAGGGGTTGTAAGAACTAGGGAGATGTGTGAGAAGGCAGGCAGGTAGGTTTGGCTTACGGCCGCCCCTGGCCCTGCAGTCTACAGAGAGCTACACTGGACCTCAAGAACAAGAAAAAAACAACCTTTCTTTTAAGAATTAAAGGGAAGACCTTACTTCTCTGGCCAGACGAGTTGCATCAGACTGAATTCAGGCAGAAATCCCTTCCTACGTATGTTGAACTGCAGCATTGCAGTGAACACATGCAAAGAGTCAGGATTAGCACATGATTCAGTTTCTTTAGTTTTCTTTTTAAAAAATTTGTATTTATAGAGAAAAATCAAAACAAAAAGGGTAGAAATAATACATAATTTAAAAAATAAACAGTAAGAAATTGCTAGTTGATAATTGCATTGTCCTTTTAGAAATAGTTGTTCAAGTTACAAAAGTGAAGCATACAAAGTGGACATTCAGACAGTGAGACTGCAAACACTTCTGTTCAAGGATCTTCACTAAGTGCTCCCTTTTTTTTCTTGCACCTTTTTATGTAAAAATTTGCTTTGGAGCGCCCTTTATCTGTAAGGCTTAGAAGACAAAAGGAATCAGTGGTGGAACGGAATCTTTGCTCTGAAGGTCTTTGAACAAGAGCACATATTCACACAAAAATCACGTGTTTCTTCCAGTTCAGTGAGAGATGCCCAGGTCAAAATCAGACTTTCACACTAGGGTTTAGAGACCAATGAGCAATGGCCGAGAGAAGGGGACACAGAAGGGTTCCAGGAAGGAGCACTGGAGACGCTTCCTTGGGCTTCAGAAGAGAAGAACGGAGGGAGCACAGAGCTAAGGCTCCAGGAAAAAGAGCTGGAAAGATGGGCGAGCACCCATGGGCTTCCTGTCCCAGGCTTTGGTCCTTTGACCTTCCTGCCTGTGGCTTCCAGGTACGCCTAGGTCCCTGCATTCCCTCGCTTTGCTGACATGTCCCAAGTGGGATGCTGGCAGGGCTCGTGCGTTCGGTAACAAAGCCCAGATTTGCACCCTACCCAGGAGCCTCCAGATCCCTATAGAGTGGGATGGCTCCTCACGCTTTCACTCCAGTCCTGGAGAGTAGTGTGTGTGCTCCCTTTTCTGGAATTCTGGCCCTGGGAGCTGGAGACCATCAAGGTGGTAAAGAGGGGAGAGGTTAACACAGGAACAGATTTCAGTGCACTGAGAAAAAGCCATGTTGGTAAGAGAGGTTTCTTGGTCTTTTAGCTGCTGATCTTTGAGCTGGTGTAGAAGGGCCGCTCCTACTTCCTCTCCTATGCCTTCACCCCTTAATCCATGGAGGACAAACCAAGTGCCCTGAATGACCTTGTTCCTCTGCATTTCCAAGTTGTATCCTTCAGTTTCCTAGAACAGGTTGTTATGGATCTGCCTCCCCCTCAAAGCCCAGGTGCTTGTAGGTGGGGCTTTTAGGAGGTGGCTGGATCTAGGGTGTGTGCTGCTGGGGTCAAGAACCGATGCTGGGATTAAAACACAGTGCATGCTAAGATTAACACTGCCCCATTCTGGGTGTGAGCGCTACACCCTAAGGGCCCACCCAGCCTGGAGATGATATAGGGGACAGGAAGAGGGCTACTGCTGGTCCTTTGTGCTCGCTGTATGCTGCCTTCCTGCCTTTTGCTTGCCATGGACTATTTCTCCTCTGTGTGGCCCCTCTGCCATGCCATGGTATAGACTGAAATCTACAAACTGTGAGCCAAAATAACCCTTTCCTCCCTGAACATATGGGTGGTGGGGATTTTGTCTCAGAAACAAGAAAAAGCAACTAAGACATAAGTCAAGCCGTTTGCTACCGTAGGACCTTTTCCCATATTCTTTTCTTTTCCTAAAACATTCTTTCTGGTTGTCTTTGCCTCTGCTTACCTCCCAATCTCATTTTCTGTCCTCAAGGTCCATCTCACCTAGAAGTCTCTTCCTCAGTTTCCAAAGCAGGTGAGATGGTCCTGTGTTTACTGTGGATCTGGCTTGGTTTCTCTTTTTATCAGCACTTAGCACGTGTGTGACAGCTTGTCTATGGGCCTCCTAACCAACCAGCATGCTCTGTTCCTGGTGGCCAGATCACACCTGTTTTGTCGTGTTAGCAACCCATTGCAGGGAGCCTGGCACAGTCAGGAGTTAATAACATTTATCAGGTGACTAAAGTGCAGGTTTGTATGAGAGCGTCCTCCTTCTGCTGATCTCAGACCCACATGCTAACTGGGTTCCCCCAGGGCAGACTCTTCCCCTCCTCTGCACCACCCACCACGCAGCTGTACTCCGAGCTACCGTCTTAGTGCACAGGAAATCCAGTGAGACTCTGTAATTCCGCCAACCCTTAGCAGCTCTCCCTTTACATTGCATAAATCCACCCCCAGGAAATCTTAAAATATCAGGAAAGTTCGCTGTCATCTTCTTTTAGACTTAAAACCCATGGCATCTGTGACAGCGACAGAAGTCCGTACTTAAAATGAGAGTCTGACGTCATGAGACTCACACTGGCGTGGTCTGAAATGCTCTTCTCTACGTCGCACTTGGAGGAGAACAGCTAAAGTAAACACAGAAACCAGACTTCTCCTCGGTGTTCCACAGCTATGTGTGGTTACTTTAGATTCCAGACAGAGTTCTGTCTTTTCATGTGATTCTGCCAGCGAGCAAGCTTATTATTATCTCACGGGTGACAGTCATCAAATTAAAATGCACAGCCATAAAGCAAGTTATAAAGGTCCAGACACCTGTAAGTGACAAGGGTTTGACACGGACTCCGTGTGCGGCTCTGACCCTGGATGACCCATCTGTCTGTCTTGCCGCCTCTGTGCTCCAGCCTGCTCTGTCCATAATGTTATTTACACAACAGCGCTTGAGACGTTGGTTTGGGTCTAATGCTTATGGATGCTTCCTAGTGTGAAGTGCGAGAAGATCTTCCTGCTTAATCCTCTCAACCCTCTGCCGTGAAAAGTCAAGATGCCTCAAGTTAGGCACCCTGAGGACAGGTAGAAGTCATAAGGTTCGTGGGTGCATGTGCTTTGTGCTCACTAGCAGCACATAGACCCACATGGTGAGCTTCGGCAGGGCAGGAGGGTGAGGCTCAGCTCCCCCTGCTCCCGATGGAGCCCCAAGACCCATGAGCCCCTGTGCAGTGTAAGTGCTCACTTCTCACAGTCATCCTCCAGCAAGGTCCCTGCGGGAATGGTGATAAAGCCAGTTTTCTGATCTCACCAAGCGTGATCTCACCAATGGTGATAAAGCCAGAGTTTTCTGATCTCTTCCCACCACACTGGGCCACTTCTGTTGCTCTTTTAGATTCAACATAGTGACTCTTCTGTAGAGACACCGATTGCTAAGGTGTGATTTTTACTCACTTACTGTGGATCTGAGTCTCGTGTCCAGACTATCGTCAGTTCGGGTGAATGTCTCACATGGCCTCAAAGAGAATGTATACTCTGCTTTTGGCAGAGGGAGTGCTTGGTCAGTTAGAATAAATAGATTAGATGATAGCACTTTAGCTTTCATCCACAGCTCATGGAACTTCTGCCAGCTCCGTCCACAGGAGGACACTCATGCCCTCAACAGGAACAGTGACCTCGTCTACTGCTCCTCTGAGTTCTGTCCGGTTGTGCGCTATGGCTTTGACGTTCTTTTGTCAGGAACCCCAAG